AGATTCGAAAAAGATAGAACAGTCTGGCGTTTCGCATGTAAGGAAAATACGCTACAAAAAAGAAAGTCAGTCTACCAAAAAGAATTCTAAAATTGCGGATTATCAAACAAAAAGTGAAATACCAAAAAAAAAATAGACAAAAACTCCCGAAGCCTTCTTTTGCTTGCGGTGAACTTCACTGGTACAGATATTGCAATTTTAGGAATAAAAAATGTTTCAACTGTGAAAGAGTGAGGCATAAAATCTCGCACTGCAGTTCAAAAAATAAAGACAATAAAATAAGAAAATTAAAGTCCGACGAAGTGAACGACGGAATAACCAGAAAATTGTTACCGTCGAAATAAGTAATAAAAAAATAAAAATGCAACTCGACACTGGTTCCGACCTATCTATCATAAATTTACATACGTGGAAGAAGTTGGGGAAACCAATTTTAATGAAGACAAATAAAATCGCGAGGTCAGTGACAGGAGAAAAAATACAATTTATTGGAGAATTTGTTACAAACGTCACGTTAAATAAAAAAACGCGAAAAGCTGAACTATTTGTCATAGAAAATACCACGAACTTACTTGGTACGAATTGGATAACAGAATTTCAATTATGGGATTTACCAATAAATTCTTTCTGTTACAAGGTTGAAAATTCAAACTGCGAAGCCGAAAAATTAGTACAAAAACTGAAGGGAACTTTTCCTACTGTTTTTTCTCCAGGTTTGGGAACGTGTACCAAGATGGAGGCAAAATTACAAACAAAACAAAACGCTCAGGCGGTATTCAAAAAGAAAAGGAATGTGCTGTTTGCTTCAATTGAACAGATAGATAAAGAATTGGACAGATTAGAGAAAACGGGTTTATTTAAAAATGTTGAGTGGGTAACATCGACAATATACGTAAAAAACTAGCTCAAGAAAGTAAAAATGAAGCCGACACCGAAAAAAACTGAGGAACGAGTTACCCGCAGCCAAGGACATGCAGTATTATGAAATGATGTAAATCGACAAGAAGAACCTACAGAAACTGTGAGTCCATCTTTAAGAAGTTCAAAGTGGAAGGTTGTTTCTGGTAACGCTTTGGAGATATATATAAAAAAAAAAATATATAAAAAAGCCGGATTGGCTAAATGAGGTACTTGGTGAAAGGGGAAAAACTCACGTGCAATAACTAGATCAGACGATGTTTTTCAGACATGGTTGACAGCGGTCCCGCGAAGAAAAAAAAAAAAAAACCGCCGATGGCGGTGATTTTCAATAAGTTTGATCTAACAACCCCTGCAAATAATTTTATCTAAGGTACGCCGATCCAGAAGAAAAAAAAAGAAAGGCAACTGATCATTTAAAAGTGGAAAAAAAAAATTAGGAGATATGCTACGATGTTGCTAAAAAAAAAAAAATTTTGTTGTTTTTTCTTCATATTTTCTGTAAAAATTTGAAAAATAAATAAGAAAAACTTTTTACTCCTACGGAATAAAGTTTTAGGGGGGGGGATGTTATACCATAATACCTATTCTATTGTAATAGACTCTCCCACACAATAATAAGTAGTAGTAGTAGTAGTAGCGGTGGCCAGTTGGGCTCAGTGGTGTTGAGCGAGTTAGTCGATATCGGACATTGAAGTACCAACCATCACAACCAGATTACTGCGTCATTAACTCTTATTTCAAGTTCCTAACGTTTTGTACGTCGAACCTAATTTAGGACGACTTATTGAAATACAAGCCTCCACTGTGAAAACTACTCTACAACAGAAGGAGAACCATGATCGCCTACGTCCTAAACGTGACTTGTCACGAGCATTACTATCGCCACTGCATAACTGTATCCACAGCCACTGTTTGGTTTTCATAAACATTCAGCTAACGTCGATGAATTTTTTACCGCATGGAGGCAAAATGATACACCTCTGTTTTGTAAGCACTTTTATGTCAGACGCCATTTTGCCAACCTGCTGCTCAGTTGATGAATTGAGTTACTGGTGGGGAAATTCAAGATACCACCAACACCTACCGCTAAAGACGTAGATCTGCATAAAATAAGTGTCATTATTTTGGAGTGACTCTCGGGTATACAGGCCCACCTAGAAAGAGAACAAGAGGCAATATGGAAGTTAAAAAGGTTGGGTGTTTTTGTATAATTTAGAAAAAAGCATACAAAATCTTAAGTTTCAACCGCAGTCTATTCTTTTATATATATATAAACTGTAGGGAAACAATGTCCTTAATGTCTCTTAGGTATGTCTATATTCCTTTTGGTCCAGGGATTAGGTTAGGTTGATGAGATAGAAGTCATTTTTAAAGTGCAAGGTAAATAACATGATTAGACTTAATAAAGTTTGCAATGAAAAGGGACAAAAAGGTAAAAAGGATGAAACAGTAACAATCATGCAAGAAAGCAAACAATACAGTTAAAGTAACTCAAAACTGATAAGAAGGCAAAAGAATTCAACAACTAGGAGTTGGTGTTTATACACAAAAGCAAAGTCAACCAGGCGAACACGGAATGTATGTCTAGTAGTTAAGGCAGATCTAGACGGAGTCACGTCACAATACAAACCGTCCCATTTTATTGGCTAAAAAAAAACATCCCAGCATGCATTCTGTGTCCTTCTGACTATAAGAGGGGAAGGGGAAAACTTTTGCAATCATTCCCATTTCATTGGGATATCAACATCACGCTCAAGTCATCCTTGCGCTGAGTTGGAACAATCATAGAGAAAGCTTGACTTACTTCATAGGTGTAGGTTTTTTTTAAAGAGACGTGTGAGTGCCATGCGTTGGAAGTGGAAAGAGATTTCAGTTGTCAGTGGGAACGAACATCTCCCAGCGAGAACGTAATTACCACGTTTTTCTACATCTTGGAGCAAAAAGGAAAAGTGAATGAGGCAGGAAAATGTTTTTTCTTTTATTGACTTTAACTATCTAATGCCACCTAACGACGTTTTACGGAGCCAAGTGGGGTGATCATACTTCCGGTTCCTTTACTCTTAGCATCATGGGAAAATGTATTTCTTTTTTTTTATTACTTATTATTTTATTTATAGATTTTATTTCATCTTTCCACGGCAACAGAGGTTAATGCTGTTAATGTAGTATAACCGAAAAATAACACGAAAAATTAATTTAAAATTAATGTATCATGTGATATTGCAATTATGCTCTCATCAGCCATCCGTATTGAACTAATTAGGGCTTGCTTTACGAAAATCTAACTCGTAACATTATCCCCCTAAAAATGTTTCCTTCACCACAAAATAATTGAATTCCTCTGGGTAGGTGAGTACTAGGCACCCCAGTTCATTTTACACAATACTTCAGATCAAGATTAAGCCAATAAGTGTAGTATTAGATTTTGTTAGGTAATTCGAAAATTCTTCATTTTATTGTTAATAAATATAATGGTGAACAATTTAACTAGAAAAATTCGTGAACAATTCAACTAGAGAAATTCAAAATAAATACAATGTATCTAAATACAAGTCAGAGGCATGTCATAAACGATCATTCTATCTTAAATAAATCTAAATGCAAATTAAAGACATGTCATAAATCGATCATTCCATCTTAAATCTAAATACAAATTAGAGATATGTTATAAATCGATCATTCCATCTTAAATAAATCTAAATACAAATTAAAGACATGTCATAAATCGATCATATCATCTTAAATAAATCTAAATACAAATTAAAGACATGTCATAAATCGATCATTCCATCTTAAATAAATCTAAATACAAATTTAAGACATATTATAAATCGATAATTCCATCCTGAATAAATCTAAATACAAATTAAAGACATGTCATAAATCGATCATTCCATCTTAAGTACGTCAACGATGTTTTGCGTCAGATTTAAACATCAACTTAAGACTTTTCTTGGTAAAAAAAAAGAGAAGAATTTTCAACACCATGGATAAATCATAGCGAATTTTATATAGTATTTTTTCGAGACTTAGCACGAGGAGAAAAAAAACAAAATCACGGATTAGGGACAAAAAAAAAATTCCCTGAATGACGTCAAAATCCGCGAAAATCTTCCTTTAATAGTCAGTCGTGCTTATTTTAATTTGTAACGTATATAAATGTAGGCACAAAAAAGCAAATGTTGATAAGATAACGAGGGTTACTAAGGACTGGGACTCCCAATCAGGCTTGCCCCCAAGCTCCCGGTCGGGGGTAGTACACACCGGCCCTGCAGCCTCCACAGACGCCGATAGCATGAAATCGAGAGATAAATAAAGTTTGCCAATGTTTGCCTTTAAAAATTATTCACATAGCTAAAAATAAAAAAAAAAAAAGACCGGTTACTTATTTTCAATGTTTTGGCCAGACATGTATGTTTTTACAATGTATGTCAATCAATAAAAATAAAATAAAAATCCGAAAGCTAATCTTAAACAAAATAAATAACAATATTGATAGACAAACATACGATTGGCTCCATAGCTCAGTTGGTTAGAGCGCCAGTCTAGTAAACTGGAGGTCGAGGGTTCGAATCCCCCTGGAGCCTTTTCTTTTTTTTTTAATTTCATCATTCTATTGCTGCAGTTGAAATAGACTTACAGCGGAATGTTTTTATTCCATATTTTCAACATGATATAAATAAGAATAACAATTATTATTTACATTAGCAATAAATTGTCTAATTTCTTCTGATGCGATTTCAGAAGTCATTATCAAAGAATCTTCTGTATGTTGGTGGTGTTCAATAGATAGCAATTTTTATTTTGTTGATAGTATTTCAGTGTCGTGTCAACACTCGCCAAGTTCCAATTCCAGTTGGGTTCGTTATATTCACTTATGCACAAATACCCGTGATATATATATATATCCTTTCTCTCACCTCCAAGCTATTTCTAAATTACTATGACGTGTATTAATCAAACATTATTATCCCCAAAGGATTGTTGAAATCTCAAAACATTTTCTGGCTTTAGATAACCAACAAAAAGTGTTTTAAACCGTAAAATAAAAATAAAAAACAAATCACTTATCTATTAAACCACCAAGACTGCCAAGCGGTCACTCATCTAGGTACTGACCAGGTTTGACTTTGCTTAACTTCGTTGATCGTATGAGAACCGGTGTTTCAATGTGATATAGCCATAAGTCTCCCCAACGCTACCAAAAGGAAAGCAAGAGAGAAAGAGAGAGAGAGAGCGTACGAAGAAAAAATAAGACTTATTTTTGTGTGTGTCTGTGTAGGGGGGGGTGCGTGTGAATGCGTATTATATGATATTATAAAAATATAGTTGTAAAGTATGCTATATTTATTGATTAATCTGCTCAATATAGGGGATAGAGTGTATGTAAATATTAAAATGGACATTGAGGTCATCAGCCAGGGGCGACAGTCTGTTTCATGCTTAGGTTATATATATATATATATATATATATATATATATATATATATATATATGTGTGTGTGTGTGTGTGTGTGTGTGTGTGCTTGTGTGTGTGTGTGCTTGTGTGTGTGTGTGCTTGTGTGTGTGTGTGCTTGTGTGTGTATATATGTTTGAATATTTATCTGCTGTCCCAATACAATATATATATATATATATATATATATATATATATATATATATATATATATATATATGTGTGTGTGTGTGTGTGTGTGTGTGTGTGTGTATTATATATATATATATATATATATATATAATAGACATTCGTCGTCTGTTATATTTAACAATGTTTGAATGATTATCTACTGCCCTATACACTATATATATATATATATATATATATATATATATATATATATATATATATATATATATATATATATATATATACGTGATATATATATATATATATTTGAATATATATATATATTTGAATATATATATATATATATTTATATATATATATATATATATATATATATATATATATATATATATATATATATATATATATATATATATATATATATATATATATATATATATATATATATATATATATATATATATATATAATTATTCAAACATATATTGTTAAATATAACAGACAACGAATGTCTATTATGTTTGATCATGAGTCATTCTAAGCCTCGTATCGTCGCTTTAATTTCAGGAGAAAATAAAGACAAAAACTGTCCAACATTTGGATATTTTTATTATGCTGTTTCTTGATCTAAGCTTTCGGCTCCGATGAGCTGCTATCTTCAGAGTGGCTATATATTTCAAACTAGTCACGACACATGACATTGCATCTAAACATATGACTCTGTTGCTAATATTTCGTTCTCTCACGTGGTATGACGTCATAGAACCGCATCACGAATTTACGACCTGCGTCTGCTATTCCGCGACCGTTATCGTTGCATAGCAATCTCCTAGGTCAAAATAATAGAATATCATCTTTAATGGTGAATATCTCACTATATAACCGCTCTGAAGAAGGCTCATGTGAGCCGAAAGCTTAGATCAAGGAACCTAAGTTTAGATTCAGTGACTAGACCCAAAGAGTTGTGAGTTCAATACAGGCTACAGCAGTAGGGAAGCAAAAAACTTAGGAAGTTGAGTTAAAAGGTATGGCACGTGGAACTAGAACAATCTACCCCTGTTGGACGAAATAAAAGGTTCGGTTCGAAATTCGAATTACCTGAAGAAGGCCGGGACGTACAACAGACAAAATGTTGCGATTATGGCAATGAAGATGAGGATAACAGTCCGAATAATGTAAATAATGTAAATAAACTTACTGCTGACCGAAATAAAATTTATTCATCAACATTTGAATTGAAAATTCAAAGGTATGTGTATTTAATGAATGGCTTCTGTGATATAACGTACCTATGAACACAAATGGCTATGTCTCAATCCTCATAGATACGTTGGACACTATTGGGGGCAATCTGCTGTCTCAGCTGGCAGCGTGAACTGTCAGCGTGGGAAGACCTTGCCGTGTCGAAATCTCTGCCTTTGTCAGAGAGGGACCCGGACGCCACCTTAAGCAGCATATTGCGATATTTTCCTAACCCAGGTGGGGAAATCCGAGCCCGTGGGCTCGGGCAAAAATTTATTTCAGTTTCCACATTAAATTTGGCCATGTGCCGCATCCTACCTCGTGGGGACGCAGGTAAATATCGCAATATGCTACCTAAGGTGGCAGCGTGAGCTGTCAGCGTGAGAAGCTCTTGCTGTGACGATATCTCTGCCTTTGAGCAGAAAGGAACCCGGACGAGGTTATGACGAAGGGCAGAGTCTCGTCCGGGGACGTAGACAGATACCCGAACACGCGTATGCGGGGCCTACGGGCAATTTCTGTCCGAGCCCATGGGGTCGGATTTCCACACATTAAATTTGGCCTTGTGCTGCATCCTACCTCGTCGGGAGGCAGGTAAATATCGTAATATGCTGTCTAAGTAGTCCACCACTAGAAGTGGTTTACCTACTTCACGCTGCTGGCGAGTATTGTATTTTGTTGATGCTATAAAGATTACCATTTCATTTCCAACCCCCATTTTGGTTATTCCTCATTCAGTAACCCTTTCTAGGTTACAACAGTTTCACAAGCAATGTTATGTCGACATACAAGAGAAACTTAAAAAAAGACAAGGTTGAAGAACGTCTTGTAATATTCACTTTTGGTGAGTCCCACATGTGCTCAAATGTAGCATTTTCTTCGCCCCAAATATGAACATTAGGTTTGTGACTTTATTAAGTTTGTGACTTCGTGTCATTCGCATGGCCTCATCACTGCAAACAAGACGTTTTTCAAACTTGTCTTCTTCCACTTCTTGCATATTGAGAGAAAATCGCTTGCGCATTTGATTGTCACCTGTCTTGAATAAGCTACAACTTGAGGGGTGTCATCCGCAAACCTTTCCTTTCGACACGCCAAACTGACGTTCGAGGAATCTGAGTTTCCGGGCTTGTTCTTTTTATGAACTTCCTGGGTCTTCGCAAAAATGTTTCCCAAAACCAAAAATGTTTCCCGTTTAACTCGACCATCTCTTCTTTACGTGATTTTTCTGTTTCTGTCTGAGTTGAAGTTCAAGTATCTTCCTGCATCTGTCTGTTAAATTCAGGTATCTTCCTGTTATTCAGACAATAATATTATTTAAATAACAATATTTAATAACAATATTTAAATAACAATATTTAAATAACAATATTTAAATTCAAATATCTCCCTGTTTCTATCTGAGTTGAATTCAAGTATCCTTCTGTTTCCGTGTGAGTTCTGTTCAAGTATTTCCGTTTTATTCTAACTCATCTCATTAATAGAAATGTGAAAATTTAATCCGGAGAAAACACCGTTCTTTTCAGAGAGAATTGTCGTTTAGCCGGAGCAAGTAACGGGTGGAACTCATTTCTGAACGACAGCGCTGATTGGTTGGCGTGAACGAGGTTTGTGTCGCGGTTAGTTTTACTTCGCGTGGTCAACTTGCCATCTTTTCACAATTAATAACAACGCGAGAAGAGGATGCGAAATGTCTCAAATTATTTAGTGTCAACCTGGCGAAAAATGCGGTGGCGAAGCATAAAAAATTATTGTCTTTGTGTCATGTAAATTAATGACTTCGGTCCGAAAATGCCGAGCATGTTTCGAACAGAAAGTTCTTTATGAGTTTCTGTTAACGCATTTGTCATATCTAATGGCGACCAAACTTCTTTTTTTTTATTTTAAACTGAATGTTGCAATCGTTTTTCTATTTTAATATTCAGCGGGTCTTTTAAAAATTTTTTTTTTTAAATTTTGCTTTTGACGGGAAGAGAGAAGTATGTAATTATCAGGATAACCGAATACTTTTTGGATGTTCCGTTTCTTTATTTTCTTCGAATTGCCCTCAGTCCTTGGAAAAGATAGCGGAGTGGTTCCCCGTTGCCTTCGCCACAATTTCTTAATTCAGATTTGTCGTTCTTCTAGACTAGCTGCCAAACCAGGTTCGAGAGACCATCCGATATTGGCCTTCGCCACAATTCTGAATTCAGATTTGTCGTTCTCCTAGACTAGCTACCAAATCAGTCAACATTGTTTAGAGCGAGGGTTATCTGTGTGAAAATGAATGCAAACAACCTCGGGCGAAAGTTGAACTGGAGTCGCACATTTATCTTTGCTCGTCGATATCCTCTAACACTTCGTGAAAAGCGAAGTACAAAGATTCTGTATTATTTTTTAATCATTTCACCCCAAGCAAGGCGATAAATTCACTTTCCTAGTCACACTCTTTATTTCATCTCAAAGTAATAGAATCAATCTATATCAAATCTCGCAAACCCTCTATCTGTAAACAGCGTGATTGCTTGATGGGGCTTGCTATCAATCTCTAGTACTTCACCCACTTTTTCCCCTTTTCTCTTCTCTCATCAATCAATTTAGATCTATTGTATTTTACTCTTTTTCTCCCGATTAAAAACTTTTAAGAATGAGAGAGAACGTTTTTACAGCAATACTCAAGTTTAGTACCACTAAAAATGTTTATATATATATATATATATATGCACACGTTTATACAACTAACAGTTTACATCAATGCATTTGAGATGTTGAGAGGGAATGGAATTTCAAAAACTGGCATTGTATAAAGTTTTCAGACTCAAGAGTGTGGCGAAATCGTAGCTGCGAGAAAAAAAAAAAAAAAAAACACCTCCCAGGCGCCGGAGGGACGCGGACTCTCGATCTCCAGTTTACTAGACTGGCGATCTAACTAGCTAAGATACGGAGCAACGAGTCAACTGCTTTTTTATAATTTACCTCTTTTTTTTTTTTTTTTTTTTTTTTTTTGTCCACTTCCACCAATCGGAACTACGACAATAAGATAACAACTAGCAGGACCCGGATGCTCGATCTCCCGTTTACCGAGTTTACTGGCACTCTGAACCGCTGTGCTACGCAGCCGACGGTCATATAATACTTTATAATTTACTTTCTTTTTCTGGGGGTTTGAGTAAATATCTACTACCAACTGAGCTACGCAGCCGACGGTCACGTAATTCTTAATAATTTACTTTCTTTTTCTGGGGGTTTGAGTAAATATCTACTACCAACTGAGCTACGCAGCCGACGGTCACGTAATTCTTAATAATTTACTTTTTTTTCTGGGGTTTGAGTAAATATCTACTACCAACTGAGCTACGCAGCCGACGGTCACGT